TTTATACTCTGTATGAGCCTACTATTTTCATTTCACTCCATCACCATTTCCTTCTATTCCTTTCTCCTTCATGTGTTTATTCAGCTTCCCCCGCCCCCCCAAATGCATCACTCCTATTATTCTCAACTGTTCACTGCTCTCCAAGTAAAGAAGCTTCTCGTGAATTCTCCAATTATATCTATTAGTGACTATGTTATATTAATTGCCCCCAGGTTCTGGTCTCTGTCCACAAGTAGAAATATCTCCTCTACGTCTACCCTGCCAAACTCTTTCATAACCTTAAAGATCTCCGTCGAGGGTGACCTGGTCACCTCCTCAGCCTTCTCCTTTCTGGGGAAAAAACTGAGTTTCAGCTGTTCAGTCTTTCCCAAGAGTTAGAATCTCTCAGTTCCAGTATCATCCTTGGTGTGAGTCAGGATTGGGAGAGCAGAGGATCGTTTATGGTGAATGCAAAACAATTCCTCAAATACCCGACTGTGAACTCTATCCACACAAAGTGTCTCAAAAGATTAGCATGTCTTGGCTCTATTTAAGGAAACAGTTAAAATATTTTAGCATCTGCTTTGATGAAATGGTCTGCATTTTTCCAATGCACTTAAATCACATTGTAGACAGTACAGACACAACAACTGGACAACCCTGTGGGTGTTCTGTTATGTTTGGCTTCTTATTCAGAGAATGCAGCAATTGAGTTTACAAGAATACCTCCCGTCAGACCTATCATTACCACTGGATCTTCCCAGAGTTGCCGATAAGTCTGTTCTCAGGGGAGTGCCATCAGGAGCAGCCTGTAGTGGGGATTTCCTTGCCTAATCTGATGAAAGATAGGAGTTAAGTGATGAGCTTACTGGAGTTGAGCACCCTAATATTACAGCATTCCAATGTTCGTGGACCTCATGGACTGTGAGATGCAGCTTCTTTCTCAGATTGTCTTTCATAAAGTTGTGCAAAACTCCTTTTCTTCCAAATAGGAGAAGAACCAGAGGAAAAACATGAAATAACTTCACAGAGGCCAGTATCTCATCACCAAATCACCCTTTGTTGACAAATGAACAGTCTTTGACCGTAGTACTGCTTCATACAGAGTCAGGCACCAGAGTGTCAGTATCCTCAACACTCAATCTTTTTATGTCAGCCAGCCAAGGCCCCTTGATTGAACCCGGTTAATAGCCCCAATCAGGGAACTCATACTCTCTGAGGCTGACCTCGTTACATTCACAACAAAACAGACGTGTTCTCCTCATTTTTAGTAATCCATCCTGAAATAACATATATTCTCTCTTGACAACTGAAGATTAGTCTATAGAATTCAAAAATGTGTACTCTTTGTGCAACCTGTGCTAATCGCAACCTGCTGTCCCTCCTTGATTTAGCTTGTGTTTTCTCCTCCTCACCTCTTAACATACATTACTCCACAACCAAGAGTGACAGCACATAACTTGCTCCCTTGTCTTTATCAATATTGCTCTCAAACTAAGGTGGGTGTGAGTTTGACCTGTGTGGTTTCTGCTTCATTTGTGGGAAATTGCTGGTAGGGACCAATATTAAGCATGGTACACTATGAAGCTTTGATGTAGCTACCCTTGAACTAGGTTCCTTAACCTCAAAAGAGCAACCCGACTGCATCACATTTGTGCAAACAATGGGAGAAGTCTGTCTTCCTCCACAAGACACATTGCATAATCATGTCTTGTATTTTCTTGAAATTACAAGATTATAGGATGATATAATTGAAGTTTTTCAAATAATTAGAGGAAGATTGACACAGAGAAACATTGCCCACTTATGGGGGCATCCGGACTGAAGGGACATCATTTTGCAATTACAGCTAGGCCATTTAGGGGTGAAATCAGGAAGTGCTTTGACAGACACAGAGGTAGTGGAAATCCGGAACTCTATCCCTTGATAAAAAGTGGGGATTCATTGGAATTTTAAGGACTAAAAGAATGACAGTTATGTTGCATATACATGACCACTGGATTTTTCAAATTTCTTTACAGCCAGTTAAATACTTTTAACTGCAGTCACTGCTGTAATGTAGAGAACACAGCAGGTAATTTGTACACAGCAGTGTGATAGTTACAAGATAATCTGTTTCAGTGATATTGCTGAAGGGATAAATATTGGCGTCAGGATACCGGGAAGAACTCCCCTGCTCTTCTTCAAGATACAGTGCCATGGGATCTTTTCCATCCCCCCAGCAGGAAGATGGGGATAACAAGGTGTAGAGCTGGATGAACACAGCAGGCCAAGCAGCATCAGAGGAGCAGGAAGGCTGACATTTTGGGCCTAGACCCTTCTGGGGACTCGGTTTGACATCTTACCTGAAAGGCAGCATCTCTGATATTGCAGCACTCCCGCCACCCTCTTCTTCAGTTCTGTGCCTGAAGGCAGGTCTGAACCACAATACCATGACCTCAACCACAGGCAGGACAAGGAGGCAGATCCTGAATCCACCCCCAGTCAGAAAGGGGATCAGACCCCATGCTGTTGGGTCCAGTCTGATCCGCTCCGGTCTGGCTGTGTTATAAATGCACTTACCCTGTTCATCAAGCCCTGGAGTGG